AAAAAGAAGCATAACTAATTACTTTGTTGTTTCTAGGAGCTATTATATGTCTACCATTGCAATAAAATTCTTAATTTTATTTTTAAGAATTGGAAAATGATTATAATGCACTTTAATGCCCTCTAGATTTGAACTATATAACTAAAACTATGATTAAATGTTTATAAAAACTTTAATCTCTGCTGTTTTGCTTTGCAATTTAATTTTTTGCAACAGGAAGTAGCCTATTTGCTTTTCTTTGATCAAAGCTATCTCTACACCAAAATTGATCAAAATTGGTTAAATGGTTTTTGCGTGAAAGCGTTACAAACAAACAAACTCACATTTGTGTTAATACCACTAGTATTATTAGGTAAGTCAATATTTATACTTAGAATTTTGGATAATTATATATGTCGTGTACAAATTGATAGTTCGGGTAGCCTGGGACGTCAAATTAATATTGAAAATTGAAATGTTGAAATTTCAACAAATTACAAAAGGACACATGAAAACACATCAATTTGCCGGCCGCTGACTGCCAAAAACGACTCCTTGAACTTTTTCAACAGGCGCCAAAAAAATTAGGAACCCACGCATCATTTAAATTCAATTATTTGAATTTTTAGATCAGCAAAAACGAAACTATGTGCATAATGATAGAGAATCATTTTAATAGTAGTTCAGCATATATCAAACAATGTTTTAGTGTTTAATAATTAATATTATGGGTGCAGACTTAATGGGTAATAAAATAAAATTTCAGTGACACTCGGTATATTTTCAAATTTATGATTTGCTTGTTAACTTTGAAGTTTTCATCAAGCCCCATCCTTGCGTGTATTGTCGCGTTGCTATTAATGAAAAAACAATCTTTACTACCAGAGTCGTCGGACAATGTTGTCATGTTTATAAATAGCGCTCGTTTGAGGTTATGTGTGTCGCGCGAATTAAATTTTACGTGAAATTAGTTTTTACGACGTTTCGGCTTCTTTTTCATGCTGGTGTGCGCGCATGGCGTAATGTTTAATGTTTCAATTTACGAAGCGCGCTCATCTAATGTGTTTAATGTTACATCGAACTGAAAATTTTACGTAATATATTTTAGTTAAGTCGTCTGCGTCCAGCGTTCCGAGCGTGAAATTTTCGGTGTGTGCGTGTGCGTTGGTCAACCGTGAAAAATCCAAGGTTACGGTCAGTCGGGACTCGGGACGAAAACAGAAAAGCACTAAAAGCACAACACACACACACAGTGTTTTTGTTTTCTTTTTTCGTTTGGAAACATAGTTTTGACTACATTTGACGTGACGTGACGTGACGTGTTACAAAAACATAGAAATGTTCAGATTTGATGATTTTATTTTCTCATTTTTTGATTTTACAAATTTGGTTTTATTATGGATGGATTTTGTGAGAGTTCAACTATGCATATTTTATTCGCGTTTCGTAATGGCTATAAATATTTTATTGCGTCAGAGACACCACACCAGCGAAATGTAGTTTACGTGCCACTATTGAACTTTATGACTTTTCATTGCAAAAACATTTAAACTAAACTGCAATATCGTAAAACAACGTAAAACTGAACTCGTAGATTATTCTTTTGTTTCACTCGAGGATCGTAAAGGGATATTTATTGGGTTTAGGACCTGCCTTCACTTTCGCTTTTATTTTCGTTCTCAATGAATAATATTCGAGGTCGCATTCGTGTCGTGTCGCGAGGGTAAAAATACAAAACAAGCATAACTATCGAAAAGTGCACTTTGCATGCTGTTACTCGACGCATGACACAATAGGTGGGTGAATGTAAATGTACAATATACTCGTGCTGTCGGCGTAAGATTGATGTGAATGAAACTTCTGTCGTGCCTGCGCAAGTCGAGGGTGTTTTGCTCTCCTCCTGCAGCGCTTCCATCTCGAGCTTATTGTGTCTCGTGCTCCCTTTCACTTTTATTCTCGATAACATGTGATCAATCATCAATACCACATGTTCTATCAACTTCAAAACATTGATTAAAGTAAAATCTTGAACGTAAATAGTCCGAAACTCTAGAGAAAGATGAAATATATGCAACCAAACATACAATGTTTTTGTTTTCACTCAATTTCCTTCATTTATCTTTATAAATCATTTAGAAAACATCGTAAATTTATATAATTGACTTTTTTATGAGTTTGTGATGAACAAAAGTCTCATCTTGATTGTGTATAATTACACTGACAAATACTGCGTTAATTGAGCCATAAAATTAAATGTTGTTGCAAACAATGTTCAATTCGTATTTATTAATAGATTAATGGTCCAATAACGGGACGCGAGTTGATGATAACGTCGAATTTTCCAGAACATCGCACAAACAATAAACGAGACCTGCGTGAGCGCGAAAAAGTGCACTGTCAGCATTGAAACAATGCCAAAATGTTGAAGTAACTCGATTTTTTGGCGCGCGTTAAAATAACGATTGTTTACGTATATGAATCTCACCAAAAGAGGACAATATGGCGAGAAATAAATCGACACGCGGCTGATGTTTGTTTAATTAAAGGTCGTGATGCTTGTTGACATGCAAAAAACCGCAAATTGTTGAACAATCTGCGTCGCATCCTATTCCGATATTTATCACACATCGCATTGAAATGTTACGCAACGCTGTAATTCAAAGCCCACCACAGAATAATAACAGCAATAGAGACCATCAGTGGGCACAACAAACAACGTTTTATGAATGGAAGTCATCTCTCGCGTTGTTGTTAACAAATAATTCGTGCGGACTGCTGCAATTCATGCGGAACGCGGCGGCGCATTATAAAATATAAACAGTTGCAGTTGTTCCGATGCAATGCAACGAATGCACAATAAACTTGAACCTACAAATAGCTGTGAGTTGCTACAGTTGCTACAAAAGCGGGAAATAATAAATTTAGGATTTAATTCGGTTTAATTCGGTAAATTTTGTTCGAAATACGTTTCGTCATGGTTTTATTCAACTTTTCTCTACTTATTGTGAGTAGAATAGCTGAAAACTTAATATTGGGGATGAATTACTGAATATCACAAAAGACAAGTTTACCCCAAACCCCATTCGGAAACTTTGATGCTTTCGAGCGATTTAAGGGATTTAGTTAGGCTTATAATCTGAGTGGAGGGTGGTGACGCACGTATTTATTTCAATGGATGTATTCTACGATTGATTGTTGGATGATGAATGCTAATCAAATATTTTTTCTTTTTTTGAGTTCCCAAGTGGTTATTAAGACAAAGGAATTTTCTTTGACCTTGGCAGGTCTATTTGGAATGTTGGACAAGCTCATGATCATTTATTATTCTTGCGGAATTTTCGCCGCAGATTTTTTTTCTTGGGGAAACCGTGGAAACTGCGGCGAAGGTCACATTCAGCTAGGTCAGGGGTGCAGCCGGCTGGCGAGATGTACGAGGGAGGAGACTCTGTATTGATCGTAACCGACGCACCTCGGCTCCCTTAAACTCACACGATAACATCACGAATAGAGAATACAGAATGGAATCAGATTAGAAACAAAACATAATTGCTTCAATGCAATACAATACAATACAAAGGTTTAAAATGTTAACCTTTTTTTGTGTATTTTGGAAAGAGAACATTTGGTAAAGTGTAAACTAAGAACTGTATGTGAGAATACGTCATTGGTGCTGTCAGGCAACATTGGAATTGCTAATTCTGGCCAGAATGCAGCCAATCGGAAAAGAAAGTCAAGTGCAAGTACGAATCTCATGCCTGCACTGACGACTGATGCTGATTTGCATACGTTACGTTGTCTATTTTAGTCTGAGGCTAATTTTTATTTCTTGCAGTTACTGTAAACAGTACCGCATTGATAGTTGATTTAAGCCAACTGTTAAATGAAACGGCAAACAGTTCTTACTTAAAAATCAATACCAACTTGCAAGGATTAATTTCTAATAATTCCGGGCAAAAACTGATATGTTTTGTCTTAAAATGTTTAATATTCCTCTCAATGACAGATGCAATCAACTTATGCAATTAAAACTAATTTTCTGCACGTGGCCCACGAAATATCCTGTCAAATACATCAATCATCATTAATTTTTGATAGATTCATGCAGAATTTGCACGTTTGCATCCCTCGTATCCTAATATAATCGATATGTTGATGTTTTGCACTCCCTACGACGGTCCTGTGTGTCTGGTTGAAATTTTAAAATGCAATTGGTAGATAATTGCATTTGCGTTCGATTTATGCTTGCAGAAGGGAGTGTTATCCGCCATATTGCATTAATATTAAACAGCCTAAAAGCACTCAACGCAATAAAAAAATACTTCAAATTGAAGTTGTATTTTGAGCAAACTCCGTGCTAAAATTATACACACAGCGTATATTTTTAGTTGTTTATGGTAATATGTTTACTATTTTCGTAGTTAACATCAACTAGATTCTAATTGGAACACATGCAACTAATTTGCACGAAAACATCAACAATTGTGTTTGAATCTTTCATTCGTTTTATTTCAGCCGTCAGAGCGCACAGCATGTGCTTCGACGTCTTGAATTCCCACGCATTTCGCCTCGCAAACAAATAGTCGATTCATCGCGTTTTTCCTTCTGTCCTGTTATAATCCTGCAAAATTCCGCCTATTTGCTCTCGCATGCAAAGCGGAAAAAAGTGGGCAACACTCTGCGCACCTTCAGTGTGTTATGGATTGCCTGCAACGAGCGATTTATGCATGGGCGGCAACCGAGTACACGCTATTAGATCTTGTATTAAATTTACATAAACTAAATTGCACTCTGTGCTCATACTTACATCGTTACACGTTACTAGTTGTAAGACAGCTGTGGAGTCTTTAAGCAGTTAGAGAGGTGATAAAACTAAACTATTCGCAGCTATGATAAACGGCATCTTCCCGTTTGTTTGTGAGACAACAATTTGCAAATTAGATACAATAAATCTACTAGACTCTTAAAATATATTTTGGTCTAGTGAAAAACAGTAAATTTAACACGTTTTGTTTTATTTCTAGGGTATCTTTCGGTAGTTCGAAAGGCTCCATGGTTGAGACATTAATCTATGAAACACCGGTTCAGGAAGAACCAGAAACAAGTCCGATACAAGAAAATGCCACACCATTTCCAGCCGATCAAGACCAAACTGAGTAAGTTTACCTTTTTCTAATGAAAAATTTGTTTTCAAATGTTTTGATATCTGTATGAAATGTTTGCGCTCGGTACTCCTAGCGACATCTAGTGTGTATTAGGTATATCTTTAAATGCCTGGGTGTGGCGTGAAGGGCGCTGCGATCGCTCCATCACGCTTTGGTGCGGTTCGAGCGCTTGGTGCGCTTGATGCGTTTCGGCGTTTTCGCTTTTTTTCGCTCGGCGATCGGCATCGAACGGACCGCGCTGGCCGGCATAGTGACAGGGCGAGTGAGGCGGGCTGAGGAGAGCGTGAGCGAGGAACAGCATCGCACCGCGGCGTAATCGTAACTAGCGCTTTCGCGTTAAACATTGCGCACGGCGAGCGCCCGCAGTGTTCATTTGTGTTCGACGCCGTTTGCGTAAAAATAAGCAGTGCCGATTGTGTTCATGCTCGTTGTTTTTCGGGTGCCGCGATCTGTGATTACTTGGTGTCAGTGCAGAAGGCGTGAATCCAGCGATTGCCATCGACACAAAGGGAGGAAAACACAATTGGCGCTTGGGATTTACCCCTAGCAACATAGCAATCTACAACTACTACTAGGTAACGCATTTGTTTTTCATGTGTATCGGTTGCTAGGTAACGTACAGAAACAAATTTTATTTGGTTTATTACATTCGTATGATTTATTCATTCAAATTTTCATTCAATTTGCGTAAATTTATGCAGGAAATTATTCTTTTAACCTCCAAAGTTACGCATAAATTCGCAAAGAAAGCGAGAGTAATCCGAGGTGTGAAGGCTTCTCCGAAGTGAGAGTGAAAGGATTTCGTAATACGTTGGCCTGTGCCGAAAAAAAAACTGGTTTCGCACGCGAAAGGAACATCTTTCGCTCGTAATACGCGCGCGCTTATATAATTCAGCATTCCGGGGATTATGCCGCGTTCGTTATCCCACAATATGCGTGTGTGCAGAATTAAATTCATACTTTTTGCCGCTTTTCTGTGTCAGTCTATGTTTGAACTTGTGCGTTTATAAGTCCAACATATGTTTAATGTTAATACATATACAAAGTAATATAAACTTGCTGTTTTGTTGAGATAAATCTCGATAGTATCTCAAGTCAAAGAAGAAACAACTAAAAATACAGTTGATGTTACACCGGCGTACAAATCACATACACACAAAAAAAAGAAGAAAGGTTTCCAACGACCTCGGCCACGAAGCGCGTATGAAAGTAAGAAACAGCTGGGAGACGCTTTTGTGTTCTTGTTTTCCTTACCGGTCGTGCGTGTTGTGCGTTCGAGGAAAGCACCGCAAGTAAAATAAGAATCAGAGGGTCATAATGTCGTCGTTGTTAGGCGGGAAAAATGGTGTGAAGCTGGCGAAGTGACGGAAACGTGAAGTCAAAATTGAAGCCACAAAAAACGTTTCCTTTCTGAATTCGCACAAAAAACCAACATAAAATCAACTTTCAAATTCCGTTTCTTTCGTGTACGCGATAAGATTTGATTTATTTAAGTATTTTTCTTTAGAGTTTTAATCTTTACTTTCTTTTGTAACTCTCAGACATGTTTTTCTTTACTATCGGTTAAAAAACTTTAATTTCGTGCATGTAACATGCAAGGCGGAATTGAAACCTGCAGACGACATGCAATCGACGGAAAAGCTGGTAATCGTAAAGCTTATTTGCTACTCGTACTTGCAACATATGTCTGCATAGAAATGAATTTTTAATTAACTGTTTGATGGTGAAATTGATGAGAATGTCATGATTAAAGTTTTGATGAGATTTGTGAACAAAACACATTATTTATGTACTGATTTTCGAACGAAATAAATTTGTTATGTTTGTGCATGTAACCTATTTATAATTAGTCAATATTGATGTAAATTATACGTAATGTTTGTTTTCCTCGACGCTGTAAAAACGCCCGATAGAAGTTGATGAAGATGAGTTAATTCCTGTCGCTGCTCGCCTTCGCGCTGTTTACGCTGTTTGTGGGCAAACGCACACGCGCGAACGCATTGCGACCGTCTATTTCGGAAATTACGTCATGCCGAATTAGCCTGCGCACGAGCACACACTGACTTCACTTGTTCCTCTCTCGCAATAACATCAAATATCATATTTAATAAATGTAGATACGAATTCGGTTCTGGTTCGGTCTTCTCTTCTGCTGTGCTTGTAAATTCCAGAATGGTTGGTCATAATGTTCATTATTGTCCACAGCACATGACTCGTCTTCTCGTGCCACTTCACTTGCCAGCAATAGCTGCGAGTTTACATGCGCATATGGTGAATATTGTGATCCTGCGTCTGATTATATTTCATGTCGGACTGCAGATGACATCATCGTAATGTAATGTTAGCTCTCCTCACGTAGAGAGCAAACAAATTGATCCTTCACGTTCTCGGATCAATGCCTATAACATTTGCCTGCTTTCACTAAAGATACAATTCTCGAAGTTAATTGCAAATTGTTGAGTGACCGTAAACTGCTGTTTTACGTCGGTTTTTGATTGAAACTTATCTTCGATGTTGCAAGCCAACTGTCATGCCTGATAGTTTCCAGGCCCCATTTTTCTAGAGTGAATATCAAAATCAAAAGTCTGCGGAATTTCACTTCAAGATTCGTTTCATGCTCGGTGGATTATTCGAGGAATAAGGACTTGTTTGATTTGTTGGTTTGTTGCCTGTGTAGATTGCATTTAAATCGGTAAACACGCATATTACTGCTCGCATCTCAACATTATCGCATTTACAAACACGGATTGCCAATGCCGATGAAAAATACCCATTCGTGCGCTTCAGAAATGAACGAAATGCTGTTTATTTATAGACGGGATGCGTCGCGCCGACGGTGGTGCCGCTTGCGCCTGCCGCATTTTTCGACTTTCCGCAGCGATTTCCAATCTGACGTGTAATTTATCAGGCGTGATTTATGCAGACATGCATAAATTAATTTTTCAAATGCATATTCGTGAAGATAACTCAAAATATAACATCAAGAAACTTTTTTGTGGAATAATGCATTAATTTCCTGATTGTTTTCTTTTTGTGGCTGTGAATTTGCTGAAAATTTAGCTTTGTACTCGTGTGGGTGTACATTTGGCTCTGGATTATTGCCAATTTCCTCGTATTTTTCGTCTTATTGCTCATATCTTAAAAATTGGCGGATTATTCTGGATTATTGGGCTAGGAACGACTTCCTTGAGTTTTCGCAGATGTAATAATATAAGAAAGAAATATTTTTTATCTTTTTACAATTAAATAATTAATAGATAAGTGAATTATCTTATAATTATACCCACATATTATTTCCAAAAGTTCTAAAATAGAACATGATGACATATTCGCAACTGCCATGCCATAAACTGTGCGCCCATTGTGGCGTTTTGTATAAATTTTCGGCGCACAATCTAAACATTTATGCGTTGGCGTTCGACGTCCATGATCCGTCACTTGAACATCGCAACGTTGGCGTCGATCGGCCATAACGAGCAGAAATTATTGCTAAAAATACGCGAGGTGCGGAGTCGCGCTACGGGCACGCATTATAAATTAAAATTTTAATGGCATTTATCACGACGTTGTGACCTTTTTATAATAAGCTGCCATTGGACACAAGTCCAGCGAGGTCAAGGCAAAAATGTACGTGGCTAATCAATAATTTCTTTTATTTCTTTATACAATTTACAATTCAAATTCACTTTACAACTATACGCAACATAATATAAAAGCGTCCTTTCAAAGTTAACCTTAATATAACCTGGTGAATGTTGTGTTAACCGAATTATGAAATTTTGACTTGTAATTTGTATGAAATTTACCTCCGCGGAGAGATGAAAGTTAAGGCATATTCATAGTGGTAAATATAGTGTCTCTTTGATATTCATGACGAAGCGATGGAGGAGAGTAAAAGGTGAACGAGCGCACTTGTTGACTACGAGGAACGATGCCTTCGAGTCCCTAAACGATGGAAGTTTTCAGGCGTGGAGTGCTTTTACTCAAAATAATGAAATTACCGTTTCATCTACTTACCACAAGCTGGAAGTCTTACTAAATTTACGAAATTGCTGTTTTCTAATGTTCCTGCAATATATTTCATTACGGTTATTACAAAAGTTTTTAACATCAACAAACAAGGAATAATATTAGAATAGATCTCCTCAAATTCCTTGGAAAATTTCTAAATATGCAGAGTGTTTAACCTACTTTCCCCACGCTCCAGCTTCCTTTTCCTCCTTCACTTTGTCATCGCATTCATCTTCCTGTCAACCTCCATCTTCTAAACGTGAAGGACTCGCTGCTTTGCTAATTTTAGTACCTTGCTAAACGATGTCGCGTGGGCGCCCCAACCGCCGGTCATTCGCATTTCAAAGGAAAACTTGAATGAACGCAGGATAAATAACCACCTCCTTTTCCTTCCAAGCTGGAGCGATAAAGATAACATGCAGATGAAGGAAATAGTGGATAATGGTTTGTCGAGGTAGTTTGAACAAGTTGGAGATGAGATGGCGGCTGGGGAGAGGTGGAGACGACTGCTGTCACTTCAACAACTTCATTCGAGGACATGAAGGAGCGCAATTTACATTTATGAGTCTTTATATCCTTCACAGTGTTCTCGTATTAATATTTTGACATTTTGCAAATGTTGATACTTGTACTAATGTAGAATATGTGCGGACATCACATTACGGAAATCATAATCATACATTACATCAACAATGGTCATTCATTGAATTATTGTGTTTGTCCACAAGTCCATTAGTGCGTGAATGGGTCATTATTAGAAGCTTTGGATTCGATGTAGAAATGTCAAATCGATTATAACATAAATAACTTGTGCGCTCGCCGCACTCGTGCGGCACGCTAATTTCCGGAAACTAAACGGTTTCCTTCCGGCCATTGGCCAGTTGGCACTGTTCCGAATGTTTGCGGTGCCTTCAACATTCATAATTTCAGAAGTTTTATATCTTAAGTACCTTGGTTGTAACTTGTAACTTTACTCACTACGAATTCATTCATTAATTGTATTTTTATGGCTATTCATAGAGCAAGTGTTGCTCAAGTCACTTAAGTCATTTCCAGCGGCATGATAAAGCAGATCAAACCGAATCAATAGTTGATATACGAGTTACACGCTTCTTTTCTCTTCTTTTCGATAACAGACTACAGGCGATGCAACTTAATGCAATTGCATTACTTAACTTAAGTCAAGTACTACACACTGATGTTTTGAACACTTTGAACTTACGAGTATGATGTTGCAATTTAGTTTCTTATAATCGTGGCGGTACAACCGAGTCGAGAAATGTAATTATCTTTTGTACTTACAATACTTTTGTCGTTCTCACCTTAAGACTCAGCGCGCTCGCTTATTTTCTTAGTCGGTTCTCACATCCGCTATTTTTATGTCTCTCATCCTCGACTTCGGTAACCGTGAACTTAACTTTTATTATGTTTATTGTAATGTCGTAGAATGTTCATCGTTTTGTTTTGTTTATATTTTCAATGTTTTTTTGGTTTGTGTGTTGCAGAGACGAGCGAGAAAAGGTACGAGTCTCCTTCGTGCAGCAGTCGAAGCCGCAGGAGGTCGTGCTGCCGGATGAGCCCGTCGTCCTCTCCGAGAGTGAATTCATGATGGCAGCTGCCGCCCTTCAGGACTCGCACCACGTCGGCAACGCGATGGTCACCAAATTCGTACGACAAGAAAGGTTGGTATTCGTGTAGGGGAAGTCCCGTAACGCCGGACGGCACCTAGCACCGGACACTCGTACTATTTAAGCTAGTTTAAATCTTTTCATTTCAAAAACAAGTGAAAGGGGTGCGGGGGCTCACAGGTACAGGATCACTCGTCGTGGCTCGCCAGTAACGCACACGGCCACGGCGGGAGCAGCCGTTTGCTGTTTCAGGCGCAAAATCACGACGTCACCTAAATATCAATGTAATTAATTTTAGTATATTTATGCATTTACATTTGAGTGGTATTCAAAGATACAAGTAGTACTTGATTGTTATCCGTAAAATGGTAGAATATTATTAGATTTTTAAACAATTTTAGTAGGTACCACCAAATGAACGAAAATGTCTGTCCCTTAGCACCGGACACTAAGCTGTCCCTTAGCGCCGGACAGTAAACATATTGATATTTCTTGTGAGAGAGAGAGAGTGAGGAGATGGCTATGTTGCAGTCAATGCATACATTTAGTAAATGTATACATTTACTAGTTAATGCATACATTCGCTAAAATTCGTAGTTAAAGTATTCATTGTAACTGAAATGAACACATTAGCTAGTGGATGTATGCATTCACGGGCTGCTTCTAGTCAGTGTGTTAAATCCGTTGATTAAATCGTTAAATTCTATCACCCCACCCCCACCGCCCCACAAATAATACCAAACAAGGTAGCCTACCTAACCATATGACATATTTGAAATGTCCGGTGAGAGGGTATGGCACAAATATGTGTCCGGTACTAGGTGCCACTTTTAAAACTATACTTTTTCTTACCAAAGTTTAATTGATAGTATTAATTATTTTTAACAGAGGTTGCATTTTTGTTATTTTAATTTGATTTCTAACTTTGTTATCTACTATATGTCATAATTTAATTAACATTTCTTCAAATATTTTTGATTTATTTATAAATAACCTTAGGTGTCCGCCACTAGGGACTTCCCTACATTAGACAAGTTTTTTTTATTGACGTCTTCCTGAGCGTTTAATTCGGCGTGTATGTTCATTTAGTTGCCTATGTACATCCGTTCGCTTCTGACACGCATGAGTAGCCTACTCAGTTACTGGATTGAACATGCTGGTTTAATGATATGAAATTTATGGCTAAATATCGTCGCGCGGCGTGCGACTCGTGGTCGGCGCGAGTTATTTCGATACGTTTTGCGTTTATTTTAAAAGTGCGTTGCGGAAATGTCGTCGACCTCCCGCGCTAACAGCCCGCGAGAGAGCGGTTATTACGTCGGCTACCCGTCGCGTTTGTGTGTCGCCGATGATGGCATTATATTGTTGTCACATCGCGCTTTCGGCACGTGACAACACGCCGACTTTTTATTGGAAATTTTGTTCCAATTTAGGCGTGGAATTTTAATTATTAGACATTAGTATAATTTTAGTGCCCACAATGCGGAATTGTAAACACAAGAGTTATGCTTTCTTTAACTAATTCTTTAATTGAATGTAATACTTTGATGACTCAGAGCGAATCAATGTTTTGCGGTGAATACTCGCGCGCGTAATAAAGTTATATAACTTTATTACAGGTGCAGGTATATTCCGATTAAAGTTGAAAATGATCTGTTGTGTCTGTCAGCGTGCGGTTATCCGCAGTTTCATACAAACGCAGGATATAAACGAATAAAAAACACAATTCACGGGCTTCCCGCGCCACAACTTCGAATCGCACTCGGTCAGCTAGATTTTAATCCTGCGCGCGGCATTTTATTGTGCATTACGTAAAATTTATTTATAGACTTTATTTATTTCGCGTATTAGCGCAGCTTGTACGCGTGTTGGTGAGTGTTTTATAATGTTATCCAACGAGGTGTTTTCGAAAACCTAAACGTACTCGGTGTTGTTTTTCTAAATCATTTTCACATAAATTGTCAACACTTTGTTTATTAGCCATGTTGTCGCTAGAATGACCTTCGCATACATTTCGTACAATTTATCAAACAATATTAAAATTGTTTAACATGAAAACGAGTATATGCACGAATCGCTCGTTTTATTCCGACGACGCTGCGTGTGATTTGCAAATAATGCGGGTATTATGTAAAATTAGTACTAGCGAGACTAAGTAAACAGCAATGTTAGTGCTGTCTGGGATTTTAGTGTTTTCAACAGGAGGAATGTAAATAATTGTGCTGGGTTTTACGTGGAAAGCACGTAGAAAATATCAGCGCAATTAAATTTTATATGAAACATTTTATATTTTGTATATTATACATTGTTTATGAGCGAAACCGGTACGATCGATACGTTAATGCTTGGATATAGTTCAGCGCGCAACCGAATTTGCAGTAATTGGGTCGTGTGCACCTTCAAGTACCATTATGTGCGCTTTATCGCCCAATTGGCGCACCAAACGCCTTGATAATGCCGTGAAAAGGCTGAAAATTCTATGGCACTGCAATAACTTCGTGCACAGCATATACTCATGCGGTAGCTGTTTCTGATACAATTTGTATACGTGCGTCGCGTTCTTTGTAAAAGGTTATAAAAATGATCGCTACCAAAGTGTGAAATTGGGCCAACGTGATATGGAAACAATAACAGTGTTCTGGTTATAGATGGCAAGCAGGAAGTTTTGATAATGACGCTCACATATTTGTTTTATACGAATCTAGTCGAAATTTATGAAATAATATTCGATTAACGTGACCCCAATATATTTTACTTTTTATGTACTTATTTACTGGGATTGTTTATTGGAACAATGGCTGATATAGTTAATCAGAATTTAGGTTTATTTTAAAAAATGTTACCATTTATAGAATCTGGAATTTTTTTAATTTAAAGAGTTCATCAGCATATAGATGAGATTTTTAATTGCGCATTTTTGTCCTTGTAAAGTTTAATATTTTAAGACGAGTACTTCCTGGAAGCCTTTCTCGAGTCGCCCATTAATATTTCATAAAATCTGAATTGTCAGCGTTTTGAAAGAAAGTGTTCTTGCTGAAATTACACCTTGCGGGCTTCAAAGTAAGGAAACTAAAGGATATTCCACATAAAGAACTAGCAATCAACGAACATCTTCAAGCGAGAGGTCTATACACGAGCAAAATTAGTCTTTTGACTTTTATTTCATACATTGTTTCTGCGACATTTATTGCACATTTTCTTACAAAATAATGCTCTAAAAATAGCAAAAATAATATTATGCATGTAAATGATAAAATTAGTTGTTTGTGAATATTTTGCGACCAAGACCACACCTAAGACAGGCAACCGCACCCTTGTTTAGAATTCATTTCCGATGTGTTGTTTCGCTCAGAGTTGCGATGCGCAATGTTGCTTGACAAATCGACCAACAAATTAATGCCCGCATTCATTGTCTTCAATTCGAAAATTTCCAACGCGCAATTAATCTCGTCGCTCTGCTGCCCGACTCCGAAAAAGTTTGATTGTATTTAATGTTTGACTCACGATGCACCTGCACCGAGTACAACCAGCGAGCATGAAGCACCGCCGTAATTAAATGCCTCCACCAAACAGTGCATGAATAAATCATGCAATTGCGCGCAATTGAGTCGTGTCGCGTGGGTCAGCGATGGCCAAGACCTTTTTCCAAGAGGCAATTCCGCATCTAGTCATTCATTCATCCGTTCATTCATGTTATGCACTCGGCGCTGCGGTCAGAGTTGAGCAATCGATTGTGAAACAATAACAAAACTATTTACTGGGACGTAATAAAAAAAGCAATCGTGGTAATTTACATATGCGTCGTTGCAAAGAATGCGCGTTCGTCCTTGAATGATCCTTGTTAGCTAGTTATTGGTTTTATTGCGCTCGCATAGCGTCAGGTCGAAATCGATTGGCTGGGCCCAGATTCTGGTATCAACTGTGTCAACATTTGACCAGTGTATAGTGTTGCACGACTAAGAAAAGAAAACAGAACTGTGTAAATATTGGTAGGGAGGTATCGTAAATTTGCTACAAGGATACGAAAGAACAATGCTACAGGGACCAAAGAAGGATTTTTCAAGGTTTAGCATCTATAAATTGTACCGAAAGATATAAAAATTTGTCGTAGATAAATTATTGCTCGATGATCTAATTTCGGTATAATGATTTTAATAAATTCTAATTCTGAATTTTATGGCAAAGTAATAATTTTATCTAGTCTCTATCGTGTTTGGTGTTCGGCCGCGATGTAATAAAGTCGTAAAACTCAATGGTGGCGGTCGCATTAAAAGCAATAAAGCTTGAAAAGGGACGCCGGGTGACGGTGGTAGTCGCTCAGTGTTTTATTCACTTCGACCCACTTTTCCGCTCGTTTTTCAATTCGATTTTCCTTTTCCGCCTGACGGTGCATGACACATTGAAGAACACAGCGCTAGATGTTATCGATACCTTAGGCGTGTTAATTAATTAGTTCTAAGCTCTTATCGGGAATATTTAAATTTAGTTTCCGATTGTTCCAAGTTGGGCGGAATAGTAACGAAAAGTTCTTTGTTGTCGTTGTAAAATTCTAAAAATGGATGGCGTCTAGTGAAAACTGTTGATACTGCAGTGTGTGTTTGTCGGATAACCTTCAACCTTTGTTGATCTAATTGCACCGGTGACGTAATGTGCCGGCGGTAGAGGTGGTGGAGGTGGCGGCTTGGTGGCCTGCATCCTCGGCGCGCACGCGCCTCTCGTCACCGCCGCCAATGTTTGCGGGCGCATCGCACATTGGGAGCGCTGCTGCACAACGTGGGGGCCCCTCGATCGATCATTTGGGGGCCGCGGCGCGCTCCAGTTTGCCGTTGTCTGTGGTAATGGAATAGTTGCGACTAGGACGTGGACGAGGTGGTTCGGTGGTTAGGAAAAGAAACCGAGATCAAAAGTCTATAAAACATTTCATCCGCGAGTGATTTGTGAGATCAAAGCAAACTCCGAGTGAAAAAAGTAAACAATTTCGATGTAATTATTGTCAATTTATAAATGATTGACCAATAACTCGAAATATGCGCACCCAATCCGGTTGATCAGTTTTCCCGGCGCAGCACGCAAAAACAACAAAACCAAAACATGAAACATTGCTATAAATAAACTACCAATATTAAAATAACGAACGTACGACGTGGCGTATGTGTCCCACGGAAAACTCTCGCGAAAGTCGAACGCATTGTTGGAACACGTCCAGGAGCGTCGACGCGTAGGCCGCGCGTCATTGCAGCTAGCCAACGGCGCAGTTTTCCCATTGCATTTTCCGCGACCAGTCGACCCGCGCCGGACGGCAAACATTGTTGGTGCATTCCGAACGACACAGACATTTTTGGACGCCGCTCAAGGAAGAAAGAAGAAAGTGTTACACATTACACTTGGAAAGTCAGACATTCCTCAGACGGCGCATTCTCGGAAGACGAAAACATTTTTTTTTAACAGCGCGTAGAAGGTTGTTGCTTCCACACAAACCAAGTTCAATTACGTGCGGCTTAGAATTATTCCAACTTATTCAAACGGTTAAAACACGCGGCGCAATTCAGTGTACGCGTTTTCGGCGATTGGATGACTCACTCGTGTGTTTTTTTAAATAATAATTACCTAGTGTACGTACATTCAAGGCGACTCACAAACTCGGCCGAACGTACCGATATTACCAACAATAACAAAAACGATCTCCAAGGAATACTTTATAGAAAAAGTTTACGCAACGTGTAACAAATTTGTGAATTGTGCGATCGTTTCAGCGTGTAAAAATAGAAACGCGCAAAGTTTACCGTCACAATTAGCGCTTGTTATTAGTTTGAACACAAACCGATTTGAGTGAGCGACGATTTATCAATTGGAGGACGACAGCGTTTACGCTCCGACTCGCTAATAAAATACCCCAACGTTGCGACCGCAATATTAAAGTTTGATTAACAAATGTTGTTCGCCGAATCGTCACCAGCGAGTTTTGTCAGTTTTCATTTCGCCATATTGGCACCAACAAGTGCTGCAATAAACAAAACAATTTAAGCGTTGGAATTTAATTGTTGGATGAAAATCAGTTTGGGAAATATCTCAGGATAACGTAATATGCCGAGCATGGCAACCACGCATGGCGGAGTGTTGTATTACGTCGTCAAAGTACCACGCGACGAGGTCGAAATCAATTGGTAATGCTTCTAAAACAAATATTTTCTACATTATCAAGCATTTTGTTCAATTCATGCGGGAATACTGTGAATGAAAATGTAATGATCTTTACTAGGTGACATAATCATGGAATTACTTCCGGTTTTCCATTAAATAACTCGCATTTGCGTTCGTCTGATGTGACATTTTCATTACACGCGCAACTGTTGAATGTTGATTCTTTTTTACTTCGTTAGAGCGCATTCAACATGCTGTGTGACATTTTCTGTAACATTTGCATCAAAGTTCAGATCGTACATAAACTATATCAACAAGTTTGCTTGAAATATTCGTAATTTTGTTGTTTTATGAATACAATACTAATGTGTGATGATTTTTTAGCACTGATAGTGGCTGGGATAATCCATTCCGACCAGGTGGCGACCTCAGCCGCGAAGCTGACGAAATCGTAGAGTTGATTAAGGGCGGCAAGCCGATTACACCGACATCGGCAGGCAACGCGTCGCCGCTGCCACCCTCTGCTGACGAGCGTATTGACTCTAATCAGACGTCGACGCCGATCACCGAGTCGCCGAAGAAGGCGAACGCCACTGCACTCTCAGCGACGCCCAAGACCGCCAAGAACGGCAACGTCCAGAACGACGCCAAGAGCCCGTTGGCTTCGCCGCCAGGCAAGAAGGGCGTTTCCTCTCCAGGGAAAAACGAGTTCGACGTACAGCGCGGTCATACTGTAGCCGCCGGCGACGCCTCGCAGGTCGAGCACGTCGTCATCAAAAAGAAACCCAAGTGCAAGTGCTGTGTGATACAATAACTCTGCGGCCACGACCACGACCGTCAACAAACCACGATTCATTTTTTTTTTTTGATTAGTCAAATAGACACTCGAATATTATTTTGTTGTTGTAATTATAAGCTATATTTTATATAGAACGATGGCAAATCTGAGAATCACGATTTCATCGAATTTTAAACATTACCGAGATTTGATGAGGAATCGATGAAAGCAGCTGAACGATGAGATTAACGAACGCTTTATTGAATTCAATTTTCATGCCAGTCACACAAATACAGCTCGCCACTCGCAGTTTTTTCACGCCGATGCATTTATTCCGAAATTTACATTCTTGCGTTGCTTTCTATGGCTCGTAACATTGTTAAGAAGAGAGAAGAGACGTAGTGATTTTCTAATTAAATGTTTAGCAGCCTAGATGAACTTAACACGAACATGAGACCACAAGTACAAAGCAACAAGTAATTAATAAGACATTATCGAACATTCAAACGCCGTAAACAGCGTTAAAAGTGTTGAATCTTTCATCATAAACATTGGTCAAGAGTTATATGTTGTTATATGACCTCTGACCTAGTTAAATTTGAGGTTAAAAACTTAAATCAATTCAGTAGACAAATTTCGGAATAAATGTTGAACATTTAATTATGTACATAAACTAAGGCAGCATTTAACAATCGGAGAGGAAATTTCAAATGGAAATGCGGATCTGAAGCTATGTGAAAAATAGGGAGATTTATTTTATACGTCATCATTGAGTGGTTCTTCGAACTTCTTGTACCAATTATTGTTTCCTAGTTTTCTAAATTTATTTTTTATTAACTGGATTGACTAATTTTATCTATTTTATATTTATTTAGCTCGTTTCTTTGGTAATCATGTAAATTTTGCAAAAGTATGCTTATACATTTTATTTATTTTACGTTAGCAAATGCTTAAGCAAAATGCAGTTATTTGTCATGATCGAATTTGGTCACATTGAATTATTTTGTGTGCCTGGATGTAAAATTCATCTCGTTGGGTCGGCTAACAGGAGACATGAAACTGATTATTTAAATACTGAGCAAAATGATGAAGCGACTAAAGCAGAAGAAGAAGAAGAAGAAAAATGAAACAAAGAAAGATATATTTAATATATAAATTGTAGAAACGTAAGGTACTTCTAACGTCCCTTTTCCCTCACAACCACACATTTTGTGTATATTTAATTATTTAATTTTAATATTATTGTATAAAGTTAAATTACGAAACAAGAGATATTAAAATTATCTACGAAACATGAACACAAACAAAACACTACCAAAATCGATGAGAATCAAACTCGAGGCAAATTTACCGATGACGACCACACACTTCGACTATTTGTGACTATTACGATTTACAAATTTAAATAGTTGAATACTAGAGGCAGCTTACGTGCTTTTTTGCAAATTACTCACAAAACACTAACGTGAAGGATACTCGATCGATGGCTGAGATTATACAAAAGAAAAAAACTAAAAGCGGTGACTAGAGAAACGTTTTTAATTTTTTATTTAGCTGAAACTGAATTCCGCGCGACGGAATCTTGTGTATGTATAATAAATAGATGAAAACTACTAAAGAGAGAAAGAAATGAAGAGAACATTTTTAATGATTTTGTGATGTATAAAATAATGATGTGTAACTTATTTGTATCGCTGATATTATTTTATTAACTACTATAAAATAAGAAAATAGTCTGTGTTTTATTTATTTCAACCTTTTGATAGTGGACTCGCTTTGAAATGCTCATAATTGAGCAATTTAAATTCTCGTTTTGTCTTAGTGGCTTTAAAGAGGTTCTTAATATTTTAAACTCTTCTGTTCCATTATTCCCTGCGAAAGTTATTTAATTGGCTCATTCACATTCGAATTCTCAATTTACCAATTCATTTGAAAAGTGCAGGGAATAAACGATTCTTTTTCTTCATCAAAGAAGCTAAAACAAAAAACGTTCAACAAAACACCATATTTTTGATCGTGAAGCATTCCTACTCTACCATTAGAAATTTTACTAAGATCTACGATTGCGGATTGAATGATATTTAAGGATCTGTTAACAGAACTGTAACGAAACTCGATAATGGTGATTTATATCTAAACGGTACATCTCAGAACAAAATTTTATTATATACTTCTTTGTAATTGAGTTAATGGTTTATCAAATACACAATTTGATTGCATATTTTGCGTATTTAGAAAAAAAAAATAGAAAATTTTCACAGGCAATTTAGGGTACTTTTAAAGCGTTTAAAGCGTGTATAAAATTTTATTCTCTAAACCTATTACAACTATTTACAACAATGTACAAATGTATTTACATTAGTTACATCTAAAAATCACTGGATTTGTTGTCCCCCTTACTAAAAATATAAATTTCTTTAGATCTACGATTAAATTAATCTTGCTTAACATTAAAAAGTATTTTTCCACTTCCACCTATAAAACGCCAGTTTATCCACGGCATGTAGACTCAAAACGTGGTACTTTATATACGGACGGCCAAGCCGTAGGTCATATTCATTATATACTAGATTTAATGCACTGGACGGAGCAGCACAAGGTGGTATGAAATGCCATGCGACGTCAGTCAAACACGTTAAAGCAGGCGCTGTTGCGCTAGTATCGTCGCGCTTCGCGCCGTGCGCGGTAAGGCTTTTATAACCTTACATTTCACCATAGTGCGCGAGCAAGTTTCGATGATTTAAAATACAAGAGTTGACAATACAAAAAACCTCAGCGTAAAACTAGAGTGGAAGTAGAAAAAATGGCGTAAGCAACACTTGGCTAAACGATGTTAAAGACTCGATTGATTGACCGCTCGCTACGCTCGCCCCCAATCAATTCTCGTCTGAATTACTCTCGTTTAGCCACTTGTTACTTAATATACTATTAGCCGACTAATTTGTCAACATAATTATCAAAATAATCACGACTAATAATTTCACCGGATCTAAACATATCCGATTCGATTTGTTGTCATACTGATCAGCATAATATCTCCTTTCATCTAAAATATCATGATGGCTTACATCTGAAAAAGCTGCTACATCACCACATTTCACCAGTGGTTCTTGAAATGCAGTGGGTCTTTCATTGCTCATGCGTGGCATGTTATCAGTATCAGCCTGCCCTAAGTACAACAGGCATGATCCTTCATAGTTCATCTCCACCTTAACAATCTCGTGCTGTACAGATGGAATTATTATTCCCATTTGAAGACAACCATTGGTGGAACTTAATTCTTGAGGTACGCCACTCTCCCAATTGCTTTTACCACAACTATTGAACATTCTCATCTCATGCACCATTCTTTTACTATATAGAGTCAGGCTAGCACGTTCGATCTTAAAATCAATGTTGGTAGCTCCTGATACAATAGTGCTACCACTCGTCAACGAGAAGTGTCCCGCTGCTGTGATGACAAATTTCGGAACAGTACAAAATGGATCTTCGTAGAATTTGTGCTCTCCAACCCAGACTGAATCGTCACTGTAGAAGGAGAACTTTCGCGTAAGGTATAATCCCATCGGACGCATTTCGCATCTAACCGATGTCCACTCGCCCCAGATGTAAGGAGGTAAATGTGGTTTGACCAACAAGTGCGGTGGAGATTTATCACTAGCCGAGTATAAATTCGAACAAATTGTGCAAGTATTACGGACATGATATGTCTGGCCAGCCATTTTCACAACTTCGTCCTCTTTGTTAACGATAAATTTAAGCAAAGGTTTACCAAAAGACGTAGGTGTGTAGTGTTCACGCTGTTCTATCTGTGAATGGACATCTCCTAGAAGCATTTCTTGTTTCATGTTCTTTTCAATAGATTCCAATGAGTTGATGACGGGCCTAAGTTGCACTTTGATTAGTTTCAGCTCGCTAAACGCCCATTTTAAACTCCCCAGACAGTTAATATTTGAAGACGTGTCTGATACACTCTTTGGACTATTTATGATATTCTGGTGCGCCATCTTTGCTTGGAAATAATTCCCGCTGTTGAAAAGCCGTGCTCCAAATGTTTTGACTGATTCCTGATCGTTAGTATTGAATACTACATGCTCTTCATATCTACGCCAAGGTTTCCATACTTGTCCCGCGCATTCTCCTGCTGTCAACTCTTCGAACTCGGTAATACTTTTGGAATCGTGCGGTGTGATGGTGATGTTTATGGGCTTTACATAGCCTGTGGCGGCGTCCGGATTCATCAGTGAATCCCGCTTGATGCGGATCATGCCTGTGCTGACGATTGTAAACTTAGGCAGAGAGCAGGAGTCGTCCCAGTAACGATGCTGCGTTGCCCGGTAACTTCCATCAGATTTGAACGTATACGAACGGAGGAGGTATTCGGGCCCAGGTCGGATTTCACATCTGCGGCAAAGAAAAACAAGAAAAAATAAATATAACAGCTTGAAATCCATGTGAATTCCTATGTAAATCGGCCTATTACTCGCGAACGGCTATTCTTGTTGGTGACATCGTTAAAATACAGCAAACGAAATCAAAACAAAAGGGCCCAATATACAGAGGTGGCTTAATATATTTTGAATTTGACTGAAGCAAAAAGGATCAAAAAAGCATAAAAATGAACATATGTGGTGTTAAGGAAACAATGCCGTGTTTGAAAATTGTTAAGTACGGCCCTGAAGTCGTAAACAAGCAAAACCAAGTCGCATTTAAAATGTTAAACCTTGGGCATTATTCTGTCCACGACCTTTAAGCTGTGCGCATCTTCTCTCGTCCACGGACTTCTACTCTCGCCCTAAACGAGAGCAGATTTATAGTTCTGTATTTTCGAAATAATGCCCCTACGCTTGGACAGCATAAATTGCACCAAATGTCAAACAATGGTCCATCGGCAATTTGAATGATTTGCAGATACATAAAATTTCTACTTACCCTTGAGATAGCCAGGTACCAACAATTCGTTTGGCTGTAGTGTCGACAATGGTATTCTGATTTTCCATCGCCACCTTGGCTGCAATTGCTTCACATTGTGTTTTCTCGGCATTCACATCAACAGCATGAAACATCAAGCCTGAAACATCAGGATTAGCATTTAAACAGTTTAAAATACATTCATAAACGTTTTAAACTTATACGATCCATTAAAGTTATGATATATTAATCACGTACCCCGGGTGGAACACATGCTTGAACCATAAAAAATAAAAGGAAGAGAATCACATTAATATTAATGTGTGTTGTGCTGAGCTGCCCTAATGTTTTCTTTGATTCGCTTATAGGTTTTAAAGCTTATGAGAAACGCGAGACCTTCGAGCGTTGAGATTCATGCTGTGCAAAGGTTCGATTTTAAATATTCAAGCGTTCCGAAGAACAAACTCCATTAACGAACGGACAGTTGTTTTATTTCGTTATTGTCACGACATGACTACAACGTACGAGTACAATCTGTTTAGCTGGATATTTTTAAACGTATTTCAATTTTTTCAGATGTAAATGATCTGCTTTTGCGTTTGTTTTTGTTTTAATTAGTAAGTCCAAAATGCAGTCTAGTGTGCAGATGTTTTCTGGCAAAACAGAGAAGGAAAAAACCGCATGAAGAAAAAGTAAATCGTTCAGTTCGAAGTGCCATAAATCACAACTAAACATCCTCTTAACTCGGCGAGCAAGGGCACCGTAAAACGCTGGGTAACTGAGTGTGTAAACGTAAACGCACACCGTACCGAACACATTTACACGCGGCTCGGATGTCAGTTTCTCGGTTTTCAATTCTCTGAGTGTGTGCATGCATGCGCGGGCTATTTTTAACGAGAAAACTATAAATCGTTTCCGTTTAATTAGTTTCTTCCTTATCTGGAACGATAACTGTGACCATGAAAAATTCTTCGTTTAGCGCGGCAATTTTCTATTTTAAATGCAAACAATTCGCAAAATAATGTCAAAAATGGTACTCACCATGCAAAATCAGCGTAAAGTAAATGAAAACCTTCATATTTTCACTGTTTCTTCAAATGTATTCTTTGTTGTTGGAATATTTTCTTTTGGAATTGAATACTGTTATTATGTGTTAAACTTTTAACAAGTTAACAACGTTTGTTTGTATGAGGCACTTGTTACTGTTTGTTAAACACTGTTTTAGCGGGCCGGCGCACGTGTGGGAGACCACGTCCTGAAGAACCTCACATCCACTCGCTAAGAACTTCGAACGCCGAATGCCATTTGCGGCCGAGTCGCGAGCCCTCCGATCCTACAAACGTCTGCGCTCACTGCTAGATGGGTTTTCGCCTTCGTTTTGTTGTTATTCTTTGGGACGCTTTTATGGCCGCGTCGGTTTGTACTGCAAGTGCTGTTTGGGGGTTTCGATGGCCTTCTTGTGCGGGTTGACACTGCAGGGGGCTTGGGCCCATCTTGACAGGTCATCTAGCAAAACGGTCGACCGAGGAGCCAACAGGCTACCCCATGGATTTATTATTATTCATAAAATGTGTGCTTCTTTTAAAGTCAAAGAAGCAAGGTAGGTACCTCTAAGGTACAGCATGTTGAATACCTTACGTTTAAAAATCTAAAGAGAATTACAGCCGTTTAAACTGTTACTGCCCACAAGTTTCTAAATCTAAATTCTTACTATTACATCCGGTATATTTTTGTACAGGTAGAAAAGTTTTGTTATTCTTTACGTTGTGTGGATGCATTCACTAACATTTGTGCATGTAAATAGCTTTTTTTGGTATACGTGGACATGCCTGTTTGGAATCTCTAAATATTGATGGTATCTTCATTTTTGGCCAATTCTACGCTTGACATATTCTCTTATCACGTTGTGCCTTTGTGTCCGCGCTGTCGCCGAGGCATTTCAGATCTGCATTTAATCTCGGACGGTATTTCCTTTGACCGAATGCGGTTTTATGCTTTTCATGTGATCCGTAATGCTTTTAAAAGTCAACTGGAAAACAAACAAAACACTCAGATATGAAAAACACGCAAACAATCATTATAATCGCCAAACTATCAACCCGACAGCACTTTAAAACTTGGATAATTGAAGTTTTCGTTGCTTTAAAGTTTTCTATTAACCACAACTTCTATTTATAGGTAATCCATTTCAGACTACGGCGATATACATTTATCTTGGTCTACTCTTTACAATTTTGTTAAGAATGTCTTCCTGGAAAGTAAAAATTGGAATTGATATATACGACCACTGAGCAATATTGTAAGTTATTTGTTAATTTTAATTTGATGAATTATCCACTTGGATAAGTTTACCGGTGTTTGAGCTTGCGGGGTTAATGCAGTCGGGATAGAGATTTCATTTAGTGAAACGTTTAGAGAATTAATTTGAGGGGGAGTTTCGGCTACCTGGCTCAATATTTATTTATGGGCTTGACTTGTCTGATTTATGATATCGCGTCGTAGCCGTAAAGCATGCTGGGCGACCGCGGGCGCACGAAAACGACGTTCCCAGTCGGCCAGGGCTTTCGGATATAGATAGATTGCCGGTCGCAAACAATCCGTGCATAAATATTTGAAATTTTATGTTGCCATTGTTGGATTTTTTGAATTTTGGAGATTCGCCACTAGTTTACGAGCCCACGGATAGACGATAATATTAGAAGTTTAGCCGATAGCGATGAAAATTATAGCTACCAGTTTATTACTATACTATGGGGTAATCAGAGATCAAAGCACCGACAAAATTTAGCAAACAATAATGTAAATTCTGCAGAAATCAAATTTTCAAAACGGATGCTTCAAGTGACAAGACGATACGAGACAGTTTGCCGGCGACAATTCGCCGCAAGACATTTCACCGCGGTAAATAAACAATATACCTACTCATGTTTTTGCGTAACCATTCCGCATAAATTAAATATTTGAGAATATTAAACTGCAAGAAGATGCGAGAAAGCATATAAATCAGTCTAATATTCTCTCATATTTATTTTTCTCCGCGGAACGATTAGCAAGTTTATTTATCTGGCGGCGAATTGTCGTGCAATGTCAGGGTCAGTGAAATGTCATGCAACTAACGCTTATTGGTAAATATCAATAATTCTATAAATCAAACCAAGATGGCGTCAGAATGCAAATATTTGTATTAAATTCAAATCGGACTTATCGCTGCCAGTTGTTGGTGAGTAGTAGTGAGAATGCCTAACCTTAAAAGAAAACGTGTTCATGTGCGATCGCGCGAATTGGTGCAGCAGGTTTTGTTTTTATCTGTTATATCTGTTATATTTGTTTACGTCTATGAGATATCGGAACTTACACGTTACACGAGAGTCTTACATTGACGAAGTTGCGAATGACATATCGTCGTCGCTGATATATCCTAAATCGAGTAGAAATTACGAGTATGTGCTGTGGTCGATTACCCTGTGTATTTCTTAAACGAGTTGCCATTAATTAATTAATTCCTTTTAATACGACATCGCGCATCCGATGCGCGCTCACCAGAAAAGCACCAAAACCACAAAAATATGTCAAGCGAAAAAAAGGGCATTGCCTCATTGTTCAATGTTGTCAACTTTGAACACACATAATAAAAAGTATTTAACGTAATGAGATTATTTGTGAGAGTATTTGTGTTATTTAAATCTGGTATAGTAAATATTTTATTAGTTTTCCCGATATGTATATATTTTCTTGCAATTTATAGTGCAGCAATAGAAGTAAGTACCTAATAAATAAATATTCAATGTAGGCTAAAAATATTCTCTCTTTCTATACAGCTAACAATACCAGTAACACAAACAATATCAGTGTTTATAAACAAATAAGTTTTTCTTATCTTGTTCAACTTGTGCGCCGTCACCGCATTGACGACACACGCGGTCGGCTTTCGCACGGTGTTAGTCTCATTTGCATCGTCAGGTGATCCGGGCATGCACTCTTCGCGATCAATTAGGTTTATCAACATTTGTTCAGTTCATCAAGTAATATTCATAATTGCACTGTTCGTCTGTGCTGTGCGGTGATATGTGGTGTTCGTTAAACGCGGATTGAACGTACGTATATTTAGCTACCTGTGCATGTGAGATGTGCCGTCGGCCGTCGGATACTCTATCAGCATCGCGTTGCCTCTAATCAATTTAGTGTTTTCATCGATGCTACTATATGCATAATTACATCTGCTTACATCTTATACTGGATTTCCAAAGAGAAAATCTTATTTTGCGCTAAGGTATGTTTTCGCATTTCTTCACTTCCACCCTATGAAGACCACATTTGTATGTTTTACTACGTTTACTATAACAGTCTGGGCTTCACTTCAACCGCGTGGTCTCACACTTATAATTTTTTTTCTCGATTTCAATATTTACCTATGATTTGTATTATCCGGTACATTCGTAAGTAGTAATAATTTGTCTATATCACATACGTTGTATAATATATTCATATTTACATTTTTTAATTGATTGCTTCACGAATTTTGTCTTTAATCGCGTTAAATGAACATCTTTCAATAGTTCAAGATGATCGCATGCCGACGGCTGCGTTCTTGGATCTCTCTGCCGGCATTTATATTCTGGTCGCCGATTGTGCTACATGGTGTACAATAAAATTCGTTTTTGTGTTTTATGCTTGTAATAAAATCCCATCACTGTTCCTTGTTATCCTGGAGAATTAGGGTCTCTTCTTAATGCTTTTTTCGCTATGTCAATTGTCTGCTGAAAATTGTTAACTTTTTTAATTTCTGATATTTTTCTGGTAGAACTTAGTATTTTATTATAACCCCATTCTTGAATAGATTTTCTTTATGTATCACCCTGTATCAAATGTCCCCTAGCGTCCAGTGATAATGGACACATTTTCCTTTCCGAGTAATGCATTTTATGGCATTTAGGATTTTATTTCTGTAACACCCTGTATATTAATTTTCTGTGAGTCCACGCGAAAAGAGGCTATGATATATGATTATCTACTTGTACCTTTGGCTTTCTTTTAAAATATTATTATCTTTTGCAACACCCTGTATATAAATTTTCCACCGTTCTGAAGTTTTTATTTGTACTGTGGAATTTCCTCTAAAATGCTATTATTTTCTTTTGCAACACCCTGTATATTAATTTTCCACAGTCATTAAAATACCTATATGTTTTCCTGCTTGAACTTTGAAGAATTGTTTGTAATAATATAGTTGGTTTTCCAAAAGATGCGAACATTTGTTACTGTTGTGTGTTTTCTCTTGTGAGTTTCTGTTCCTTTGGTACTTGTGTGTGCCGGCGTATGCTAGTTGTAAGACTTGTTTCAACCTGGCGGCATGTATTTTGTAAGAATTGTGTATTCTAGTTTTGAATTATATGAATATTATAATAAAGAAATGTTAAGAAACATTGTTGCTTGTTGTTTGTATGTATCCCTTCTATCATTTCCGGGAGAGTTCCCTCTCTCAGGGATGACCCCACCATAAAATTGTTAAGGTAACCTGTATGATTTGTGTAGGTACTCCTTCTTTCATTTCAGGTACAGGTCAGAACTTGTAAGAATACGAGTGTCTCCTCTCTTGAGACTACTTAAAACTTAGTAATATTTTTACAAGTCCTTAAAAGGATGTTCTTATAAGGAGTTCCCTCTCTCCGGGGGTGATCCCCCACCATAAAAATTGTTGATATGCCTGATAATTTCGGGGATGAAGCGCAGAGACATCGTAGCTGTAGGATGGGCCGGGAGCAACGGACGCATCGAAGCAGTTAGACTGTCTAACGACACGCGCCAAAAAATTTAAAAATCTAATCCACTCCTGTTCTGTTTCTTCTATCTCTTCCTCCTCTACTCTCTACTCTCTGTTCTCTTCCTTCTATCTTCTCCTGTTCTCTACTACTCCTTCTTCTTCTATTTCTCTGCTCTCCGTTTCTCTCACTTGCATTTCAATTCCTCTTATATTTCGTTGCAATTCATATATGCAACCCAAATTACACCTGATATTTTTATATTTGAGAAAAATGCCTTCCATACCTGAGATTCGATCCGTGTATGCTAGCATGCCAGCAGGTGCACGTCTCCACTCGACCACCGAGTGTTTTTATCATTGATATTTGATCCTTCTATTTATGTTTCTATTTTTATCATGTTTTTAAAACAGCAACACAAGC